TCTGGAGTGTTAGGAGATGAGGGTAAAGCAGGGTTACTCAAAGTGTGGTCCTCGGACCAGCATCATTGACATACCTGTGAGCTAGTCAGAAATGCAAACGCATAGGCCCTGCGCCGACCTACTGAATACAAATCTATGGGGATAAGACTCAGGAAATAGTGTTTTTAATAAGCTCTCCCATTGATTCTTCTGCACGTTAAAGTTTGAGAACCACTGAGCTAGAAAGTCAAGTACACTAGACCTACAGAACTCCAAAAGCTGGTCTGAAAAAGTCGACCTGTGGGTAACAAATTCTAGAAGATCTTAGCTCCCATGGCTGGCTGGGCCTACTCTTCATACCTAACAATAACTAGAAGGAATCCAGTTGTTTAAAACGCAATCACTGGAAGACATAAAGCAAAACAGGTGACCTGTAACAAGATGCCTTAAAAGCCAGACCCTGTTGTGTCTGCAAATCAAGATCACATTTATTTTTGTGAGGGGAACAGCCTGTGTTGTCTGTCTGGGTCACCAGCGCACCTAATTATAGCAACATCCACATCACTGGCCTTAGCAGATACGGTCTCCTGTGCAAGGAGATTATCTCGTGGCTGTGCAGTTTTGAGCCAACTTAAACAAAACAAAACCGACTCACCTCACTCTTCAATCATCATTAATTAAAGATGCCCTTGTGCAAGAGGCAGGCAGGGCCTTTGCTTTCTTTTAAAGTTGCAAACAAGCTCTGGAATACAGACTGTTCAGAGATAGTTTCTATTTATGAATGTATAACATGGATGCGACTTCACAGGCATGTAGGGACAGTGCCATTAAAATAGCCAAAGTGGAACACGGAAGCCCACCGTGTCCATGCACATTAGCAAACTGCGCTGCTCTGCCATGGTCCTCCTCCTCCCCCCTCTCCTTTGACTCCCTCTCGCCTACTGAACGGACGGCAGGCTGGGGCCGTCCTCCCAAGGTCAAGGCCTGCTGTTGGCGGCTACCACTTCACTGAGCAGCTACGTGCTAAGCGCTGTTCTAACACCTACAGCAATGAGAGTAGTTAGCGTTTCTGTCATCCTCACCTCATGCCACCAGCACTTAAAGTTTATGTGCATCATAACCGATGCCCACAGCGATCCTGAGTTGGTATTATTATAGTCCAATTTTGCAAATGAAGCAGCTGAGCACAGCATGGTTAAGAAACCTGCCCCGGAAGGCATCTTCTTAGCCACCATGCCATAGTCTGTCCAGGTACTCTGCAATCATTACTTCATTTCAGCTTTCAAACAACCTTGAAAGGTACATATTATTAGCTCTCTTTTTGCAGATTGGAGAAATTCAGGATCAAAGAGATTATAATTTTCCCAAGTCCACCTTGGGAAGTAAGTAGAAAGGTCAGTATTGACCTTGACAGCAAAGCTCACATTCCTCCCTTCGCACCATAGTGCTGCTGGTTATGAAAGGGGTCCAAGGCAGAGAAGGGCCCTGGTAGGTTCAGGGCAGTTCATTTTTATAAACCACATCCCGAAGTGGCTCAGCTTACAAAAAGATGTGGTTCTCTGGGCAGGGGACGCTGTGACAAAACTAGGAGCTGTGGGTCCCTGGAGAATGGAAGTGTGAACAACAGATGGCTAATGAGTTTGCCAAAGCCTTTGGAGGACATGAGGATTTGGGAAGAAAGGCGAAAGCACGGAGCCGCCGTTAGCAGAGCTTGCAGGGCGTGCTGTTCTTCTGGTTGTGACGCTGCCTTTTCCAGCCCACTTTGCCCTCGCATCTGCAGGGACACTGGCTGGGCCGGGTCTCTAGCCCACGGGTGCAGGCCAGAAGCTAATGGTTCCCTTATGGGTGAATTCAGTCACTCACTGCTCCAGCCAAGTGAGCTAAAAGACCACAGACAACAGGCCTTTTGTGTTATTGTTCTCAGAAATCTGGGATGAGAGAAGCAGAATGAATTTCCAGCTAAAGCAAAGCCTAACCTCAGGTACGTACACACACGCCAACTGAGCCAACTGCGTTTGCGATGAATGATTAGTGGGGCTTCCCAAGAATCTAGCAAAATAACACTTGAAGGGGTTTTAGCATAGCCATAAGGTTCATAAGAGCTATTAATCTCCTTAGGTTATCATTTTGTCAAAATAATTAAGAGAAGCAGAAAGGGGTTTTCCTTAGGGGATTTCTGAAACAGAGATCTGATCACTTCATCCCTCCTTAAGTTTATAAGGCCGAAACTTAAGTGGCGTAATAGATAAATAGCAGTCTTATATTTATACAACTGTGGACCTTTCTACATTTAGGAGAGAGAACCTATATGGGGGAGAGAAGCAATCATTAACTCAATTTAATCATCCACTTAATTTATCTGGTGTTCAGAAGGCCTGGGGCAAATATAGTTCAAAATAAAATTTTAATCAGCACTCATCAGAACAAATTGTAATGGCCTGCTAGCAAAATTTTCCAAGCACAGTTAAGTTCTATGACGGCAGAACTGGGTCTGGTCACCGATGTGGCCCCCAGTGCTTAGAAGAATGCCTGGCACGTGGCTGGTGCTCAGCCACTGTCTGTCAAGGAGGTCCTTCCAGTTTGCCACTTTGACGATGACGGTGATGGTGTCGGCAGTGCTATGTACTTGGGAAGTGGTATCCACCAATCCTCCCAACAATGCCACATGGTAGTTAGAATAATGCCCTTATTTTACAGGTGAGGGAGACGGGGGCCAGTGATGCTCCACACCATGCCCAGGTGACAGCGCCGGAGAGCGACAGAGCTGGGACTCGAATTGAGGTGCCTGCCGATGCTGGAGTCGGTTTGAGGTAGTAAACCTGAACCCTCGCCTAAGGTCAAGAGGAAGAGTCGTTCGGGTTATTTCAGTAGCATTTTGGGGAAGCGTGTAGCGAGAGGGAAGTGTTTCTGTTTCGCTCCACACTCCACTGAAGGCCGTATTTCCAGAGCCCTTCAGAGACTCACCGTTGGGGATTCCAAAAATGAGTCTACAATTTATGTGTAAGTTCCCTTTTTTTGGGCCCCAGGACATATTTTCAACAGATACTTTATTACAAAATGGGAACGAGGCTCTCAGAGTAGTTCATAAAAGCCAATTTAACTCATAATTAAAATACAGCCTGTCTGCAGTGATAAACTAGTAATTAAACCAGATGGAAAAAGGTACCATTCAGTAAGATATAATTTATAAAATTAAGTTTGCTGCTCAAGGAAATGCAGACTTAATGAAGGAATTTTTTTTTTTTTTTTTTAAATCTGAAGGGGACTTCTGGATGCTTTTATACAATCTTTTATTAGACACAGGTCACGCTGGCCTTTTAATTCCAATTTCTCTTTGCAACTTGGCTTTCCTGTTCTTGCGCCTTAGACACAGGCGCTAATTCAAGGCGCTCTCCTACTTGCTGCCATCATCGGGTTGATGTGGTGCACGTTTAGAACACAGGACAGAGGGGGAGAAGAGGGAAGGAGGAGGGAGGGCTCCCTAGCAGGTGCTGGGCTACGCGGGGTGGCTGGCGGGGACAGGGTGGCAGCAGAGCGGGTGTGCACAGAGATTTGGAACCGCGTGGGGAGCTCACAGTGTCAGGAGCACCTGCGTGTGTGCAGTGGGTTCGTGGGACTGCGTGTTCCTACGTTTCCTCGTTCACTATTCAATTTATCAAGCAGCATGCTCACGGACGAAGTCTGGGTCTTCAAGGAGCTTCCATTTTTGTGGGGGAAAAGAGATAATAAACAAGCAAATATATTTAAAAAAAATAAAATAATAGACCATGCTAACAAGCAGAGTAAATGTAGTTAAGGCACTAAGAGGATAAATATCAAGGGCACCAAACCGGAAGGGGAGTCTCTTGGAGGGAGTGAGATGAGAGCCAAGGTGCGCAGGGCGGTGGGAGGAAGAGCTGCAAGAACATCTGGGGAGAGGGGCTGGCGGGAGCCAAGGGCCTGGGACGGAAGGAAGGAGAGAGCCTGGTGAGTGCTGAGAACTGAGGCGCGGGGAGGGCTGGAGCTCAGTGGTTCAGGTGGAGACAGGGATGTGATGAGTTGGAAGGGGAGGCAGGGGTGGGTCCATGACACCCTCGAGGGCCACCCCAAGGACTTACAATTTATTCTCAGTGTAGGGGGAGCCATGGGGGTTTTTAAGGGAGGGAGTGGCAGGGGCAGAGGCGCTTGCACAGAGAAGGCTCCGGCCGCTGGAGGAGGAAGTGTTGGCGGCCAAGGGTGGCTGTGCTCACCATGGCTGCCCGTGTCCTTCTGTCCCTTGTCGCAGGCACTGCACAATCTGGCAGACAAGACCGCCCCTTGCCATCTGGCATTTACAGCTGGAAGGACACTCAGAGAGTGTGAGTAATGTGGTTTTGAGGCTTGGATTTCACAGAGCAATAGAAAACACAAATAGGGGACTCACAGAGTATTGCAAATTTCCATTTGGCTAAATCTCAGCTACTGTCTATGATCACCTTCATTTCGTAGGAGAAAAGATACTTTAAAACCACAAACATAAGGACATAATCTCAGGGGCAAAAACCAAGTTTTACAGAAACACTACACCTTCCTTATGTTTTCACATTTTGCGTTAGAACCAGTGAAAACCTCATTAGCAGACTGGACACAAATCCAAGGACTGGTATTCAGAACATTAGTATTTAGGAACCGCTGATTCCACCCTCAGCCCCCTCTCAGAGATGAGAAACGCGAGCTTCAGGAGCCCTGTGGCTTTCCTGGGGCATGAGCTGAGGTCAGGGCAGAGAGTCTGGGCTTCCGTCTCCTGACTCCAGGTTAATCCTTGTTCCATTACATCATCACGCTGTATATTTCAGCTTTTTCTTCTACTTTGCCAAGGCTCAGGTACCGTACAGATCCCTGTCTAGGGTGGAATACGCCGGCCATCTCCACTTCCCTGCCCGTATTTCTGAGGGCCGAGGTACCTGATAAGGAACAAGCACTCAGCAAAACAGCAGCTCTCAGCCCGGAGCCCTGTAAGGGGAAGTCCTCTTCTTTATAAAGAAGAGTCGGACGCGTCTCACCTGATCTTCAGGTACGCCGCGACTCCAAACACCAGCAACACCACGGCGATGACTGTCACGGTAATGGCGGCGATGCTGCCTGCCAAGGAGGAGAGGCACAGAAAAGAGGACAAAAGAGGGAGTTAAGTGACTCTGGAGCGCACGGTTCCCACCTCTGCCTGGCCCCACCGTTTCTGCAAAAGAAGAAAAAGTTACTTACTTCACATCATTCTGCATAAAAGTCAGCAAGAATAAAACCCAGGATCTTAATTCTGTTACCAAAATGCCTTTTATGCCAAGTGAGGTTGGATACGTGGTGAATATTTATTTCAATATTTATCAAGACCCTCACGCCTGTAATCCTAGCACTCCGGGAGGCCGAGGCGGGCAGATTGTTTGAGCTCAGGAGTTCGAAACCAGCCTGAGCAAGAGCGAGACCCCGTCTCTACTAAAAATAGAAAGAAATTA